AACGTAGGCTTAAAAACAAAAGAAGGAATTATTTAAACAAACTAGGAATTCAGTTATGTCATATACATCTGACACTTGGTAAAGAAGTGAAAAGTCCCGGTCTTGCTCTAGAAAAGCAAAACGTGTCAACAAATATTTTTGTATATTTTTGGAAATAAATAAAAGAATATATTAATACCCTAGTAACAAGATACTATATAAGCAGTTGTACAGGATAATTAACAGTGATCGTAATAGATTAGTTGCTTTTTTAATTTGCACCTGAACAAGTGCACCAAAGGAATACTAGTAATGACTGAGAATTGATGTAAACAACTACATTTTTTAGAATTTTAAGATCAGATTTTGATTATGGGAGAAATTTCAGGGAGCTAGACAAAAGTTACTGTGTTAAATGAAAAGGTGATGGATTAAAAAACAACAAAGAGAAAGCAGCAATGGCTCCAATTCACAAACATTTAATTCACCTTGAGGTCTGCTGCAGGACAGTACAGAATTGCATTTCTCTGTGGCCTAATTCCACCGTGTTTTACACTACTGAAAGAAACTAGAGAAAAATGGAGAACTGGTCCAATGACTATATAATGGATGAATTAGAGAAAAAAAACAATCCTGAATGTTCTGACTATGATGCAAATAATTTCTCAAGCTTGAAGCATAAATAACAACGTTTGCATTTAACATACAGTCTACAGCATATGTTTGCAAAACTAAACAACCGCCTGTGTTTACATGAGATATATGACGTTCAGTTTGATTTGCATATCAGAGATCATGCTGTAAATCTCTGATGATATTTACAGTTGGATAATTGAAACTAATCCTGCCAAAATGACTTTGACAGTCCTGAATTTATGGTCTGAGAAAACAATCCTGGAACTGTTTGCTGAGCTATTAACATGGCTGGCTATATATTTTCAATCTGAGCTATGCGCTGCATAAAAACCTGTTCACAAATTATAAGCTTTTTCCTTTCTTCCCACACTTCATGTTCAAGCTCCTTCCTATAATCATTAAGAGAATGGGATAACCTTGAAGATAGAAGATATGCATGTGTTTTGCTGCCGCCTTTTTTTTTTTTTAATTTTTCTAACCATGGCAGGTACATTAGTTATCTCTCCCTGCCATGAAGTTATGCCATTTTCTTTTTAATTTCCTTTAAAAGCAACCTAATCTCCCAGCAGAAAGCATCAAGAAGTTCCAATACCAAAACCCAGACTCCCTCAAATCCTTTAGTAACTTGGATCATGGTTGTGTCTCAGCATGCGTCTGTGTCTTCAGGGAAGAAGAAAGGTGCTTGGATTTTTGTTTGGTTGGTTTCTGGTTTGTTTCTTAAACTCAGATAATATCTTTAAATAGAGAGCACATAAGTTGTCAAGGGGAAGAGCATTGTTAACTACAAAGCTACCTCACATTATCGTCCTGGTAGGAATGCCATTTGTGGCTAGATATATGACCAAAACTTCCAACATTCACAAAAGAAAAATGCTTGTGCATAATATCCATCGCAAAAAAACCCCCAACATCAAACAGCAGTAGTTTCACCACCTAAAAACAAAATTCAAACAATTGGAAGGCTGAATTTTCTTATCATTGGCAAAGAATTACATCATTTATTAAAACTGTTGGTAACCTTTTCGTATTTAAGAGATGTTGCACCTCGTATTCTTCGGACTCCAATAATGGATTTGACGGTTGTGAAAGTTGCACCTTGGGTTTTGGTGCTAAAAGATAGCAAACAGCCTCCCCACTTTCTTGATACCATGTTTTCAACCACAGAGAACTCTGGTGTAGTTATTTCTAGAGCTATGTTTTTAAAAAGTACATTTTTTAATATATAAAAGCAGCTTTTTGAAATCTGGAAAGAGAAAGATGACTGCCACCCATTAAACAAATGTAGGTATCTATATTTGTAGCATCGATTTTACAGCATCTCTCTTTTATAAAGGTGGAAGTGATGGCTTTGATATTCATCTTACTTTCTCTCCCCACCACCACAACATGCTGCTTTCCAGGACTGTTCAATCTGAAAGCAGGCATCCATCCAAATACGTAATATTAAGGAAGAAAGACAGCTCTCATTTATAACGTATTAATTCCTTATTAGGGGAAAGAATAAATCACTAGATTAAGCAGAATAACTGTGACAAGCATGCTATCTTGTGCTCTGTCCCTTGTTCAGACCTTGTGTCAACCGGCAGACGGCTAGAGAGGGAGAATTCTAAAGATGAGAACTAGGTAAGCACATATTCTGTGAGGATGGGAAGAAAAAAAATTACTAAGCATCAAAAACCCTTGTGGTAAGCCTGCTCCACCTTCCCATTTTGTTGCACACACGCAGACTTGTAAAGGAGTCTGAAGGAGGTTATATATTTATGTGGTGCCTAGCACAGCTGGCTTCATTTGTATCGGAGAACTCCAGGCACATAACAAATTTACAGGTGACACTCTGGGAAACATCTAGGATTAGTGTTGCCAAATTCAGCCAATTAGCTTGGCAATTAGTACTGCCAAGCCAAAATACACTGCAGGTTCTTTCATACAGCATTTCTGTATGTAAGCATCAGCAAATGAGCAATCCAGACTGGAAACTACCGGCCTGATTAATCTGTCAATAGCTTTCCCTTATTTCCACATATTGCCATATATTCTGCATGGGTTGATTTTTCGCTTGAATGAGTCAACATGGGCATAAGGATCAATTGCAGCTGACCGTTCTGCAGAATTAGGTCTTCAGGCAGGTTCTCTTAAGCTTGAAACAGCCACGTCTTGTTGTCATCAAACCCCTTTTTACAAAAGCTCTTCAAGAGCATCTAATTTTTCCACCGTACTCAATTTATGCTAAGCGCATACAATTTTATAGCACATCTTATAAATTCATCTAAACAGACGACCTAAACAGAACTCAGTTCCCTTTTGGACTTAGGTAATGTAACGTAAAAGAACCCACGGGCTTTTATTGTGAACAGACCAAAAATCCACCACTGAGGACTCCAAGCAAGGTTGTTTGTTTTGTTTTTTTTTTTTATTTCATACTCTGAATACTCTTATTTTAAGCATATTATGCCATGTTTTTGTGCCACCTCCTGCTCCCTTTAGCCATTGAGATTTTTGCATGGCTTAAGGTTTCAATAATTACATGCTGATAACTAGCCTTTCACGTCATGGCTGTGCTCCTTACTCTCTTATTTTCAAATACAAAATGCACATCAGATACACTGAAGGTAGAAATGAGAGTTGGTAATGAGTGGGAGTGGGAAGCATGGGTTGGTGATAAAGGTTTGCTTTGATTCCTCTGACTACAAAAGCTTCCTCAGTACAGAAGATTATTTTAAAGTGTCTAAACAAAACCTTTGTCTATGCAAATTCAAAACCATTCTGACATAAAATTAAAACTATTCTTAGTATTATTTCTTAAAGGTCATGAATATGCCATAAAGGATGATCAAAGTATTGAAATCCTACAGCAGGTTAAGAAAAGAGGTAACAATACCATAGATTTCCGGTATTTTCATTTCTAGGCAAAACACTGACCATTAATTCTTACTACTGATAGTAACGGTGGAAGCATCATCTGTTATCAGAATTGGCTAACAATTTCTGTTATAAAACCCACTTCTCAGTTGTCTTGAACTTTGCCAAACTATAATTGCTTTGTCTATGATTTTATACAAATTGAGTATTTGTTTCAAGCTTTTGTTTTAACTAGCTGCTCGCAGCTTAGCCAAAATAGTTTGGAGTAATTCATTAAAGGACATGTTGTTTATCCCATTTTGAAAACAATGTATTTATTATTATTTAATGCGTCCTCAATTCATGATTTGAAAGCAAGACTGAAAATCTGATACTGACATTTTTAATTAGATTTCAGAAAAAATCTGGCTGAATTTTGAAAAAGCTCAACTCACACATGCTTACCAGAGAAGTACTTTGCTTTTACAACAGAACCCCTCAACACTCCCGCTTCACCAAGCACACTCCTAAAACAGGTCTCTAGGTCTCAATTGCAGGGCTCACTGCAATTGCAGCAGACTGGGAGTGATTTAGGCAAAAGGAACGAAAGAAGAAAGTCTCCCTTTTTTGTTCAGTGAAGCTTCTTTCCCTGCAGTGGCTTGAGGGAGTATTTCACCTCATTCAAATGCAAAGGGAGAAGAAGACTGAGAGGAAATGGAAAAATCCATTAGGACTGGATAATAAAGAACCAAGGAAAAAACCTATGAGGCTGGAGCCTTGTCTGTGGACTGGTGACATTCAACTGTTAAAAATCAGACATAGCACAGTACAGAGGTGTCAATAACACTACTCCCAAGTCATTCAGGAGTCTAGAAGGAACAGTTTGGGGGAAAAAAAAAATCCATTCCATTCCTTTAAGGTGTAAATTAATCAAAATATGTCATCTCAAATATACCTGAAGAAAGTTGAGGAACTAATAATTAATTAGTAAGCCAGTATATACTAATATTCTAAAGGCGCCTTCATAAAAATGCATTTGCCTGGATAATAAAAAAAATGAAGATGTATGCATTGATTTATTAATCAGGAGTCACCTTGTCAAAACATATATAATGAATAGATTTCCACTTGTCCAACCTGAAATTAAAGTGTGTTGTATACTCACAAGCTAGAAATACTATATAGAAAATCTACTTAAGTTTTTGTTCAGTTACTTATTTCAATTATATATTGAAGTTCCACAAAGCTCTGGCCTTAAAAAAAACCCCCAACAATACAGAATAACAGATGCCAAATAAAAGCAAATGCTTTTTTCTGGCGCTACCTTAAATTGTGTCTTTTCAAGCTCCCTATTTAGTAAAGCCTTTATCTAGTACATCGTATCAAAGCCTGTTTTTTGCACCACTCCCTTTAATTTATCTCTGTTCTTAAAGTGAAGTCCACAAATTGATGCTAGACATCTCTTTCTCACTGGGATAAAATATAAACCAGTGGTTATTAAGTAAAGCTATCTATCGGCTAATAAAGAATCTCCAGTAACTCCATACCTGTTAACATCCCATATTTTACTTGTGTTGTCCGTGGAGGCAGAAGCCACGAAATCGCCACACGAATGCCATGAGCAGTCCTGTACAGCATGGGTATGTCCTTCTAAAGTCAGAATGCATCCACATTTTGAAAAGTCCCATATCCGCACTGTGGTATCCCCACTTGAAGTGACCAGCTGCATGCCACTGTAACGAGGAATAAAAATATAGAGTAGTTTTTAGCAAGGATACAGGTGAAAAGTTTTTGTTCATATGTATTTTGATCTAAAATTAACAATTGCTACTTAACCTGTCTTTCTAAACATAGGTAAATTATTTTGCTGTGTACTTTGAAAAAACACATTTGAAAACATTCGTATTTTTACTTTACACAGTTTTCTGACACATCATAGATGAAGCGGTCATGTATTAAATACGCTATCAAGAGAAAAGAAAAGGAGATAGGAAGTAGCTATCTTCCATGGGAAAGTAAATATGGGTTCCAAAAATTACATTCTTACTTTTTGTAGTCTATTTAGGAGTTTATCAGTAAAATAACTTAAGCCCAGAGAACTGCATTCAAAACAGAATGGAATAGCTTCAGGGAAGAACGTTTTCTTATTTCCCAAATCCATACCATCTTCTACATATAAATTATTATTTAAGCATCACAATTTTGTGTCTTCTGACTCAGTATAAACAACTTCAACACATTCACTGTCTCGTGGGGTTACTGATATGTATTATAAATTAAAAATACAGGAGTTCAACACACAGCTTGAAACTAAAAGTCCATCTGATTCAGTAACATGTTATACAACAACTAATAGGGCATTCTAAATAAAAATAATAAGAAAAAGCATGTCAAGTGATTCTCCTATTAAACTCTCCCAGATCTAGCCTGTGGCTCAGGATTTCTTCGAGACAGAAGCTTTGTGCTCAGCAAGCATCCATGGAGGTTTTTTTCCATGACTAACTGATTTTTGAATATATGCAAACCTTTGGCACCCACAATCTCTTAAGCCAATGAATTCCAAAATTTAATTATGCATTGTGTGAAAAACTATTTGGAGGTCTTAAATACCTTACTTCATTTCATTTGATGCTTCTAATTCTAACACTGTGATTAAAAGTAAACACTGACTACACGTTTACCATCTCTAAACCAACTGTGGTATTATAGGTCCCCTATCATATTTTTCCCGCAGAACAGCAGACTCCTACTCTATTGACTCATTCCTCATACAAACGTCATTCCATCTCTTTGATCACATTTACCATCTTTCTCAGCACCTTTTGAGTTGAAACTGAAGAAACAGGTACCCAGGCAAGGTATACAACGGCACAATAGTGTTTTCTGGTTTATTCTGTATTCTTTTAACTTGATTAGCATTTTTGGCATCAGGACCATTTTTCCTTATGTGCATTACTTTGCATTCATCTGCATTGACTTTCATCTGCCACTTCACTGTCGAGTCAACTGTTGCGACTGGAATTCTTTTCCTGTAATTCTTCACACACAACCTTGATTTTTAGTGCCCTGACTAATTAGCAAACTCATCCACCTCCTTATCTTCCCCAATTTCCAAGATCAGCTTAATAACTTCGGTCCCAGCCCAGATCCCTGTGGGACTCAAATCGTAATTTCTCCATTCTGAAAGTCACATTTTATTCCTATCCTTTCACCAGTTTTTAAACTCACAAGATAAATTTCCTTCTTATTCAGGACAGTTTTGCTTGAGAGTTTTTGTCAAATGACCATAGGAAGCATTTATTAAAAATCCAAGTATACTGAATCTACACATCTCCCTTGATCAAATGCTCAGCATGCCTTTCAGGGAACTCCGATTTCTGAGACTTAATTTCCAAAGCCATGCTGACACCTCCCAATGCTTCACTGTAACAAATTTATCCTTGTACGCTGTAATTTTGCTTCTTAACATCCTTTCTACCAGACTTCCCAGTACCAAAGGTACATCCATTGATCTACAGCCTCTTCAACCCAAACACTTTTAAAGTATTTTTTAAAAATTAATGCAGCCTTCCCAAATTATACCACGAATAATGGAGGTTTTCTATTGTGCTTACTTAAAAAAAAAAACCACAACAGGAAAAATATTTGGGGATAATAAAAATACAGACCAAAACTATTTTAACCTTCTGTGTTCATACCAATTTCCGCTGTTATCTCATCAACGTCAATAAGACAATCTTGCTTTTAGGATCCAATAAACTCTGCTTTTACTTAAAGATTGGAAAATGTTCTATCACAGGCGGTAGAAATCCTTCTCAGAAATCGCTGGATATAAAACTGTGGGAACTGAAAACAGCTCAAGGGTTGATCCTAAGCACTACTGTAGAACTTCATACTAAGAATACACTCAGAGATATTTAGTTCACTGTTGCAGTGTAAAAAAAAAAAAAACCACACCAAACAAAAAAAACCCAGAAGAAAAAAAGTCTGGGAGGCGTGGTGTCAAACTTTTTTACAATATTCTTCCTTTCCTCTTTTTCCAATAGATGTCCACCAGAATTGTTCTGCAGAAGTACCTACTAAGACAGCTTGAAATATGTGCATCATTTACCTGATAGATCTTAAGGGAGAGCTTGCCATTATGAAATATCACCTACCTAAACTTGTGACTATTTTTAACACTTACAGTTTAGATTGCTATTTTTTGTGAAAATATCATTATCATCCTCATTAAGGCAGTTACACCCCCATGCCGAAGACAAAGCTTTCAGAGATTAATCTCAAAAACTTTAACATTGCACAGGAATAATTCTGAAGTCTTTTTCACGTATCCCAAAGCATAAAGGCTTGAAGCCTGAGTAAGGGTTCAGAGGAGACCCTAATTTTGTCATGCTGCTAGAAATAAATGTGCTTTTATTAATGAAACACTTGTACTTTTAATAACTCAAGCTAGATCTCACTTCTGGAGACAGATAAAATTAGTGAAATGACAAATTATCATACCCCTTACACATTTATGAAATAAGAGCTATTTTAAAACAAATTCAGAAGCAGGTATAAAGTGGGACTGATGAAATCCAAAATTGATTCAGAGGGTAGTATGCACTGCCACTGTTGTGAATCACAAAAAGAGATTTATTGCTTATGCATTTTTTAATATATAATCCCCAAAATGCTACATCAAGAACTGGTTCCTTGGGCTGAATTTTAAGAATACACCATCCAGGGCAGTGATGAAAATCTTTCAGAAAACAGATATGAGCAGGAAGATAGTTCAAATGGATTCAATTTGGCAATCTGTGGCAGGGGAAAGAGTTACAAATGAGGTTTAGCACTCCTTACAGATCAAAGGAGAAGAAAGTGAAGACTGAAAACAAAAGCTTAGCTTGTGCAGGAAAAACTTTTGAGGGACAGACTGACAGTGGAAGGGCAAAGCCCCTCAGGAACAGAGGGACCCAATGCCCCAGTCCCCTGCAATACAAGCTCCCTAATGTGCCCTGGGCATAAAAAAAGTATCATTTCATTGAAAAAAGGGGAGTTGCAGCAGTTGAGGATCTGCGATTATCCGTGTACGAACTTAACATCAACATTTCTGGGAAGCACAAACTGCTGCTTATAGGAGTGATGGTTGTCAGAGCTCTTTTAGCACCGGGCCTGCACTTTGTGGTCATATCTTTGCTGCACACTAGGATTCGAACCAGACACACACACACAATGAAAGAAAAGTGCTGTGTCAAGCCAAGTCAGGCATCTAAATCAAAATGCTGCTCGTAGAAAAAAAATCCTACCTACTCAATAGCCGATCAATAACATACTTTTTCTAGTTCGCAGCATTTTTTGGTTCTGGAAAATAAAAGAAATGCTCCAAATCTGAGGCAACATTTTGTTAACCACAACTGCAACATTCTTTTTACTGCCCTATTGCTCTGTACATATGAGCTAAGATTATTATGGGGGGGGAGTAGTGGTGTCAGGAAAAGTAGATGTTTTTAATGATTTAGGCTATCAGTTTAACAATACCCACACAGTCCTCTACCATATGACTGATTGTCAAACAAAATTCATACTGTTTTTTATATTAAAAAACTATGGAAATACAACATTAGATACTCAGCCTTAGTTATCATCAGCTGTATACACAAACTCCATTTGAATTCAAGATTGATCACTAACAGAGCAAGCTCCAAGTAACCGTAACCCTGTGCAGTGTGTATATCTTTAATTCAGATGTTAATAAAACACACTCTTTTTTACCAAACAAATCAAAGAACCAGACAACATTTTAGGAGGCAAGAACAGCGTCAATCCTATCTTTTTCTGTCACTTGAAACACATTCACATATATGCAAATAACTTTGGCAACTTTTAGAAATTTGGTGCTAGTAATTTTTTTTTAAAGAAAGTAGCAGTACACTTGTGTACAGTGGTCTATGGACCCATCAGCTGGGGTTGTATGGTTTTACTTGGTCTCTTTTAGGGGGTTTTCTGTTTAGACTTTCTAGCAGACCAAAGCACTATAAAGGATGAAATATGCCTTTATAGTTTAGAGCAAAGTATTTGTGTAGGAAAAAACTTTCAAAAGTTCTAGGAGATAGAAAGCCTATGACACATGTAACCTCTGCATTGTCTATGGATAGATTTTTTTTCTTAATATTGAATATGCATACAGTTCTACCTTTCAACTGATTTCAGGTATTCCTAATTGATGCTATAAACCTGCCCTTCCAGAAACAGTTAAGAGTGGAAAAAAATCTTTGGAAATGTTAATTCTGCGTTCCACAAAAGCAGATGGAGCATTAACTTCTCAAGCCTTAACAAATTTTTCCTCCCTCATATTCTAAACACACATATTTGCTTTTATTATATAGTCGTCCTTCTTCCAGCTTCACTATTCTTACTACAAGACACCTCTCCATTAATACTTACTGAGTTGTAGACATATCAATAATTAAGGGTCATATTCAGCAACAACACGAGCTTTTGGCACAGAGTTATTCTATAACAATTCAGGTGACTGACTACCTTTCTGGAATACCAGTCAAATGAAGGCAATAGCTACACTGATAGCATTTCCCTGTAAATACATCAAACATATATCAACAGTCAAAGCAGCTTCAAATATTGCACCCCATGCAAATATTTCTGGACAACGGACTTAGATCTGAACCTCGAGCTACTCCAGGGGGATTACTCAGGTTACCTCTGAAGACAGTGTGGAATGCAGAGCTAGCAA